ACAACACTATTAATTTAATTAAGCCAGTCTTTGATTGATAAATAATCGTATAGGAGATATTTAACGTATACGCCAATAACTAAATGCAATAGTCAAAATGATCAATTAGTCAAAATGATCAATATCTGTCTACGAACTGCTCAATAATTGTCCTATTTAATATACGACTTTTAAAAAATTTTTTTAGGGTTAGTTAGGATTTTAGCAGGGCTTATGTTTTCAAATCGAAACATTTGTAACAATAAATTGACTCATTCATAAAGAATAGAACGTTTAATTCAATTAATCAATATATTATATATCAAATGTGTTATTAAATTACCGTGATTGAAAATTTTGATAATGAATGGAGGAGATGGCATTATCATACATGTATAAATAATTTCATAGATATCCAACTTAATAATTAAATTCTGCCGCTTGTAACTAATTTTGTAGCAAGTGCAGCTAATATGGCGGCCTTGTGATTACTAGATAATTTTGAATAAGCATCATATACGGATACACCTATAAAATAAACACATACATATTCTCAATAAGAATTCAAAGTTTAAAAATTAATTCCAACTTATAACTAATAAAAAAAGAATATACCTTTGGCATCTCTAATTGCACCCAGTTTATTTCCTGCGTACGCACCCAACACCAATCCAGGAACATTAGCACAAATAAAACCCAACATCCCACCAGTAACCGCACCAATTGGAGCATAAAGCCACATCGGGTTATCTACTTCAGGTCTCAACAATTCTTCAAATACGTCACCAAAGATTTGATTTGCGTCAGTTCGATTGACCTGCCATGTCGATGTAGGTTCACTTTTCTTTTTTCTGGAGGCCCTTACTCGATCTATAAAGTTATCAATTACTAATAAATACTAATAAATTCAGAAGAAGCCACCTTTATTAAACAAGTACCATATTGTGCCCTTCGTGTTTCATCACTAAGAACATAATAAGCATCTGCAATGTTCTGAAAAAGAACCTTTGCCTTTTCTTGTGATAATGTGGGGCTTATTGCAGAATCATTAGAGCCTGAAACGAATCTGTCTGGATGTGTTTCTAGGGCTTTCTTTTTGTACGCATCACGAATTTCCCTTCAAAATAAATTTTAAGATTCCGTTAAGAACACGAGCAATTTTTTACGAATTAGGAAAACATTTCTTACTCGGTTGTGGCAGTGTCTTCAACTTCGAGAATTTCATAATAATCAGGAAAAGAATCCGAGTTCATACTGAATCTAAATTTGATGAAATAACTAACAAACTGTCTACATATCGATATTGGCTAATTTAGTCCCCAAAATAAGCCAATCATAATTGAGAAATTCTACCGCTATTTTTAACGAATTTTCATATGATTTTTTAAGTTTTTCGTACGTACGTACGCAGCTTTAATTAAACACATAATGTTCTTTTAACGTTAAGCAAAGTTTTACGAATTAAACGGTGTACGTGCATAAAAAATGCGAACAATACGGGATAGCATAAGATATCCAATTTTAGCTAGCTTTCTAAAAAATGTTATAATAACAAAAAAATTTAAGTAAAAAAAATTCTTTAATTGATACCGATACGTAAGTTTTTAAGCCAAACTAAACTATATTCTGACAAAAGTTTTAAAATATTATAATAGTTCATATATAAATTAAATTTTTGGGCGCACTAATTTTAGACGAAGCGAAGTGGTACATTTTCAGGTTATTAGCTAATTTTATCAGGGCCTCGAATAATACTGTACTAATAACCTTTAACCAATTTTACGTAATTTTTCCGTCAAACTAATGATCATGTTACTACTGTACTATGCCAATTAAACTCAGCCGATGACTCCCTGCCAATCATGATGATCATAATTTGGCTCAACCGGGGCGGATAAAACAAATTATTTTTTTTTTACTATGATCAGAATCATAAATAAATTAGTTATTTTATGGTAAATTCTGTATGATTTTGAAAAAATACATTATTAAAATGACTTTTATTATTGTTGTGCGAAAACTTATTAAGGCAGATTTTTTTTTTGAATTGTCATGGATGTGCGAAGATATA